CTAGAGTTCTGCAGACTAGCTTTTGCTCCTCCCTGCTTCCCACTGAATCTTGCACCCCAAGTTGATGTGACTCAGGAGTTAAATCCTGCTGGAAATCTGGAACTCAAGCCTTGATCTGCCTTAACATGAACTATTTAGCTCCTATTGTTCCACCCTTGCGTGACCCCAATTAAGGCAATTACAGAACCCAGCACTTTCAGAGTCTTTAAAGCCAAATGATAAAGGTTTATTCCTTAGATCTGTGGTAGTTTGGAATCTTCATTTTCATGGAGTTGATGAACACTAAGTATTTACTCTCTTCACGTATGTTACAAAAAAATTGTATGACCTCAATCTCCCAAATCTTCTAAAAGACTTATGTGCATATATATTTTCATTAGATCATAGACCCACGATCTAAAACGGGCATTGAAATTTTTATTTTAAGACCTAGAAGGTGCGGTGTAACCAAATTCTCCTAAATTGTAAGATGGAGTTTACACACCAAGGTAGAAGGACCTGTGGACAATACGCCCATAGGAGTCAACTCAGGTGGATACGCGATTGCTGTGCTGGCTGGACCATTTCTGCTTTAAGTCACACCAGGTGAGGTTGAGAAGACGAGGGGCTGATTTAGCAGCTGTTAGCTGTTACCAAATACTGTATGAGCACTAGATTTCAAAAAACTTTGAAATATATATATATGTGTATACGTACACACATATATACATATACACACATACACACATATATACATATACACACATATATACATATACACGTATATACATATGTGTGTATATATATATATATATATACACATAGTGAGTGTGTATATATATTTGCACAAAAAGTAAACCAGATAGACGGTTGCATCTCTTAAAGAAATTACAACAGCACTTTAAAATAAAAATTTTAAAACTACATTGCCCACAGCATTTAAAATATAGCATAGGTATTTTTAGACAGCTTTATGAAGTTTTTGAAAAAATAAAACTACACGCAGAAGACCTAATGATTTGATTTACAGTGCCAATTTTAAAATTGTATTTTCAGAGTTCCAACAACCAATACATCCCCTCACCCCTGGAGTCCCACGTGTCCTTTCCTAGGTAACCTCATGCTGGGAAAGAACATAAGGACTGGAGCTGCAAGATCAACTCTATATTCTATGCCTACTCCTTCTCCTACACTGACAGGAAGAAATCATGGTGCCTGAGTTTTTGTAAACAGGAGGCTCTTGCTCAATGCTCTGGGGAACGCAAACCCCAAGTCCTGGCAGAGGGGAAATCTCCTCCCACTTTCTAAAACGAGACAGTTGGGTCTAGTGTGAGCTGTGGAGTTCAGTGGCGTGAGCCTGAGTGGTCACAGTGTGGCCACATCAAATCAAAACACACAGGCAATTTGGGTACATGTCCCCTGCCAGTTTTGGATGGAAATGAGAGTCGGAGGAAAGACCCCAAGAGCTCCAAACTTTCACCCTCCAGGTCACTGTTCGCCTTTCTAGGACCCCAGGGACAAACTGCTCCTCTCTGTGATGTGGGATTCGCTTGCAGAGACAACGCATTTGTTTAGCCTTACACATGAATGAAGAGCATATGGAGAAGTAAACCCCACTGACCACTGCTTCCCCGAGTGACTTCTCTTCCACGCCCCTCATAGAAAGCCCTACAAAGGAAAAATCAATCTTCTCAGCTTTAAACCTGCCTTCTGTCCTCGTCAGATGTTGCCAAGCACGAAGCGTTATGGGGGCTCCTATCACAAAGCAAACAGAGCTGGAGCAGCCGGAAGGAGAGCTGCTCTCTAAAAGCTTTTAAACACTGTTGTATTTTTAAAACCACTTACTGAAGAGGTGAGTTATTTTCTACTCCTCCTTCCCCAGAAGCACAGACATTAAGGTTACCTAGAAACCTGTCCAGGAAGCATGTGGCAAATAACAACCATGCAATGGGAACATCCGGATTTGTCATCTAATAGGAGATGGTATCAGCAAGGTCATTTTTGGTTAGATGTGGAAGATGAAACATCATTAGCTTGCATGCCCTGGCTATTGGGGGCGGGGAGGGCATTCCCATGTCCTCTGGGGGAAGGAGACTTTGCTTTTATCTTGGCTGGGAGGGCCTTTGGTTGGTACAAGTTGGAAATGAGTAAGATCCGAGATCGATGCTTCTCATACTGAAGACTGCCCATGGGAGGAACAGCAGAGGGAGAATACAGATGAGATGGGATCACCTCTACCCTGGAAGAACATCTCATCTGTAGGATGCATGAGATAGGATGGACACAGAAAATGACCTGAGAACAAAATTGGTTTTTTAAGTTACAGAAGCAAAATAATATTCCATGAAGGACAAGAGGGGGAACAGGAAGCCTTTTTAGTAAAGGTAGTTTTAAATCAAGTCTCGAGAGACAGTGAGAACAGCAAAGAAGATGGGCGAGAAGGGATGGGATGGCGGCATGGTTCTGTTAGTGAGTCACGTGCGCTGAGGACACGGATGCAGTGCTGTTTACTCTGATATTTTATTTCCATTATTGTAGGAAAGGGAAGGAGAGATGACTCCTCTTTATTTTTATAACTTTAGCTGCAGACTTTCTTTAAAAAGCCTTCATTTCATGAAGGCAGTGTTGCTGTTTCCAAAGAGCTTATTCCTAATGCATATTTCCAACCAACACCCTCTCTGTGTCAGATGAGGTGATAACGTTTGTAATGACAGAGAAGCAGAAAAGTGTGACTCACCTGTTTCACCACAGAGACTTTGCTGCAGACGCGGGGCTTGGGGAGATCCAGCTGGCGTGAAAAAAGCAGCAGGAGCAATGGGCCGCTGGAAAAATGGTCTAGGGATCTTTGCTGTACCTTGTTCCCTTTTGCTTTACCCCAGAATAGATCCTTTTTCCAGTTCATCATAAAGAAGGGGAACTAGTGAAACTCAGGACTTCTGGAAGTGAAGCTATCTGCAAACTTATTCTGAGGAATCCATGCAAACCCACAGGGCCAGCTATGGGACAATTCCTGGCCTTTCCACATTGACTTCTTTCCATTCAGTGGTCATCGGCTTTAACAGGGGCATCAGGGTTTTTGCGTAAGTCAGTAAGACATGGCCGAAGGGACTTGAGAAACCACAAAAAATTTGACACTAAAAATGCAGGCAGGAAATCTGTACATGCAAACAATCCTCAGGAAAGGGAGAGGCGTGCGTCATAAAGGTCTGGCTGACATTCTATAACTCCTCTCAAATTACATGCAGCCAGTGCCGTCGGCCTGACAATGTTGAGCAATATTCCAACCATTCTCCTGTCACGTATGCTTCATGAACGCTGGGCTCACCAGGCAGGAGCACCCAGGCGTCAAAACACTTGCCTGAGTGCTGAGGAATGCAGCCATGGTCTTTCTGGCGAGGCCTCAACTGTAGGAGGCACCTGACCTCCGCTCCTCTGAAAATGGAATGAGGCACTTGACAGAACTGTACCTTGTCCTCCCCAATCACCTGGAAGAGGATAAGAGGCAGGAGTTTTAAGGTATGAGTTGGAAGTTGAAATATTTTTTGGCCCTTCTGACATACCATGACCTCAGGAAATTCAGTTAAGCTTTCTGCAATTTTTTGTTTCCCCGTCGCTAAAATGATGTGAATTCACGCTACCCATTCAGCGGATATTAAAATGCAGTAGACCCAAGCATTGTTCTATGTGTGGGAGAGTGTATGTGCATTGCTAACAATCCTTTTCTTTTCCAGATTTACTGTTCTCACTACCCTGATGTATCTGGATCAGTTACAACTTATTACTTAGCAAAGTTTCAGTTTAAATTTGTGTCCCCTCTCTCTCTCTCTCTCTCACACACACACACACACACACGCACGCACGCACGCACACACACATTCACTCAAAATAATCAGAATTCTTTTTGTTTTTGAGACTGAGTCTCACTCTGTTGCCCAGGCTGGAGTACAGTGGCGCAATCTCAGCTCACTGCAACCTCCGCCTCCCAGGTTCAAGCAATTCTCCTGTCTCAACCTCTTGAGTAGCTGGAACTACAGGCACCTGCCACCGTGCCTGGCTAATTTTTGTATTTTTAGTAGAGACAAGGTTTCTCCATGTTGGCCAGGCTGGTCTCAATCTCCTGACCTCAGATGATCCACCTGCCTCAGCCTCCCAAAGTGCTAGGATTATAGGTATGAGCCACCATGCCTGGCCAGAATTCTTTTTTTTTTCAACTACATATGTTTTTCTGAGTGAGGAAGAAAGAGAATTTACATCACAAGGCAAAAATTACTTGTCGTATTGCATGTATCCATGAGCACATATTACATATACTAGCACCGTTTTCCCTGTGTGCCAGGGGTGGGGCAGTTTAGTTGGAAAAGCTAAATTCTGCTCCACTTGGCTTGAAAACATTCAGATGTTTTGTTTGTCTATGTGTTTGCTTTCTTGCTTACTCACCTGGGACATCTAATCTTTGGTCTGAATGGTATCCAGTGAATACACTCCTGTCCCTCCCCCAAGCCCTCACCCAAATCCAGTAAAGCAAGAGATCAGCAGGGCAGCCAGAGAGCCCACACCAGTGAGGCCAGGAAGGAAAACAGAGCTCAAGAGGGTCCACACAAATGTTTTCTTCCATATCCACTCCCCAAAGGCTTTTTTTTTTTTTTTTTTGAGATGAAGTTTCGCTCTTGTTGCCTAGGCTGGAATGCAATGGTGCAATCTTGCCTCACTGGAACCTCTGCCTCCCAGGTTCGAGCGATTCTCCTGCCTCAGCCTCCTGAGTAGCTAGGACTACAAGCATGTGCCACCATGCCCAGCTAATTTTGTATTTTTAGTAGAGACAGGGTTTCTCCATGTTGGTCAGGCTGGTCTGGAACTCACGACCTCAGGTGATTCACCTGCCTTGGCCTCCCAAGGTGCTGGGATTATAGGTGTGAGTCACTTCGCCCGGCCTGGCTTTTTTTTCTCAGTAAAACTCCCCCCAAAAAGAAAAACAAAGAAGGAAACACACAAAAAAAATCAATGTGGTATAGAAATTTCCATAGAAGAACTTTAATTGAACAGTAAGATTTAATATTTCACCAGGTGAAAAGAGGAATTGAAAATTAGTAGAAAAATTCCTAGGAGACCAGATAGCCAGAACAAGGAATGGGGTGCGGGGAACTTAGGGATGTATCTTCCCCTCAATATGAGTAGAGGAGCAGCGTCAGGAGCAGGGCGTTGGAGAGAGGCATAGAAGAGAATCACTTTCTCCCAGCCCAGGCAAGCTACCTGGTGTAACTTCAAGTTCAGGCCAGCTGACGCTCCGGCCGGCTCTTGGAGAGGAAAAGGTTTCCCATGCCCCCACCTCCTCCCTAGTTAATTCTCTCCAGGTGCTTCTCTTGCTGTGAACCCAGGGTGCTATTAGCAGGCTCCTTCTTGTTCTCTTGCTCAAATCCTTTCGAACCTTCGGAGCTCTGCTGTTTCTAATTTCTAACCCCATCTTGTTTCTTTGCCCCAGTACTGAATTCTGCCATAATCTTCAGATCAACTCTAGTCGTCTCCATTCTTTTCTAGATGCTAAAATCTTCCAGTCATCTTCTCTTCCACTCTCTGTCCACTCACGAGTCACCCGCATTTCTCACCCCAGTCGTCATCCTCATCTCCATGAACCATCCTCTCCAGGGCTTCCTGCCAGAAAAGTATTTTGCAAGTTTCACTTGAATTGCTACACAGTATAATTCTGAACATGTAAATAATATATAAAGCCAACCTATTTTTGGAGCTAAGAGTAGACAACAATCTCTTACACTACAGATCCATCCCAAATTGGTAATGCCCTTAAAAAAAAAAAAAAAAAAAAAAAAGGTGCTTATGAAATACTCAAATCCCTTCAGTTAGTACAAAAACAACTGGTGACCTAAAAATTCAAGGAATGGCCCAGAGTGAAGGGAAATGTAATGTTGACTCTGGTTTACAGAAAGTGAGTCTGAGTCATGGCAGATCCTGAAATTTCACATGAACTCATTCTGCCTGTAAATGCCCCGGCATCAATAGTGAGCAAACGTGCATTCTGGCCAACCAGGCAGAAGCACTTTGTTTTCCATTGTGCGGTGACGCCAGATCCCCGTGGCTTCTGACAAAGGCCCTCGTCAAGCCTGTGTGTCATCGTTTGCGTTTGCCACAGCTGAAGCGAGGTGCGCGCAGACCACTTCCCGACTGTGCATCCACCGGCCACCCTGCGGCCACGGCAGGCAGGCTGGGTCCGCGCGGGGTGCAGCGCCACCTGCTGGACTTCCTGTGGTGAAGCAGCAACCTGGAGTGGCGGCGGAGTCCAGGAAGTCCTGTCCTTGCGGTTTGCTTTCAGACCATGGTCAGGCCTGACTGCAAGAACAAAAGCACTTGCAGAAATATGCACTCTTTATGCAAACCAGTCCTTAAGGAGGCTTGTGATCCCTTCCTCACTACAGAATGTGGTGTGGCATGTATGAGTGCACCAGCATGTATGTGGGGGGAAGGGGGGTGCACCCATTTGTGGGGGGGGTTATAATGTGTATGCATGTGTGGGTGTCTGTACATGACCTCTCAAAGGTAGGAAAAGTGACATCTTCGTCAACCTCCTTGTTGGATTGGTAAGGAACTGTACAGTTGACAGAAACTTCTATAATGTGTTCCATTTATCTCCTTGTTACGCTGTACAAGTAGATAAAATGTTCTCGACCAAATGAATTTTTGCCAGTGCTCTGACTCTGTGGTAGAATTACCCATGACCTAACCACACTGGAGGCTGACAGCTAACTAATGATCTTTCCCTCTTTTCAAAAGACTTCGCCCATATGGGAATAAAGACTGTCATGATCCCCCAGCCAGGCAGGGCTGGCCCTGGGCTTGGAGGAGGCAATGAAGTAAGAGGCAGCCAGCTATGGGAAAAAGTCAGCCGCTTCCACGAGGCCAACTGTGGGTGTCTCAGGAAACAGACAAGTCACAAGTCTAGGTTTTTACCAGATCCTCTGGCCCTTCAGAGACGTGCCCGCATGTCACACGCGTGAAGCCACTTTCCCTGCCTAGGAGGTTACTGACTTAAACGCAGGGACATTTGTCAAAGCTGGAAGCCTGACAGACAAAAGCAAAGGTGTCTGATGAAGGGCCCTGCTGGCTGGTGATGTGGAATGTTTGCTGACAGTTCTAGAAACACCAGGGAGCCAGCAGATTGAGCTCTCTGTATTTTCCTGGCTACCAAATAATAACAACTACAGTATCCTGAGGGCTTACTCATACCAGGCAGAAGGCTAAGCGCTTTACCTTTGTTTTTTGTTCATGCAATCCTCAAAACTGCTCTATAAACCATGCAGTATGATCAGCCCTGCTTTCCCGATGAGGAAACTGAGGCCCAGAGGGGTAAGTTCCCTGCCTAAGGTTTCGCAGTTCAGGAGAAAAGGGAGGGCTCAGGTCTCTGTGGCCCATCTCCTGATGCTGACCCTCCTGCTTCCCTGCCATTGGTGCCCTGCAAGGCCCTGACCTGTCCTCTATTTGTCTGCTAGGTTGAGGGCCACAGCAACTCACCAGCCACAGGCCCACAGCACTCATTTTCATGAGAGCAGGGCTTGAGGAAAGAGCTTTCATTCCTGTTGTTTTGAGCCAGGACAACAGACTGGGAAATGGTTGGAACACACAGTTCTGGGTCAGAGGTCAGGGAGCAGAGAGGACTCCAAAGGCTAAACTAAACAAGGCTTCTCACAGCAGCTCGGGCCATGCCGAGACCCACGGGCTGGGGCTGGCCAACCTGCTCCCACATGGGATAGAAGAGTGTCCACAAGGGTGGCCTGGCCTGTTCCTGCCTAGAGCAGATGAGGAAAGCCCTGTCCTGGATTCAGCTCCCAGTTCTGCTACATTCCAGCTGAAGGCCTGTGGAACAGTCGTGAAGAGCCACACATGGCAATGTCCCCTCTCTGGAACCCGAGACGCCAGGGCTTCTCACTGTAAAGTGGCAATAACGCCAGCCAGCATGCAGAATTGTGGTGGGGTAATTAACGGGAGCTAATGTATGAGAAGGAGCTGTTACACTCCAGGACTCTAGATACCCAGTTTTATGGCTATCAGTTTCACAGCAAAAAAAAAAAATAAATAAAAGTATTTTTATTATTCTCATATTCTTCTTATTAATTCTGGTGTGCACTTACATGAGAAACGGCAAAGGGATATTCTGCTTGCAGTCTTTTGCCCTGTGGCAGAAACTTTCCAGACAGGGTGTCATCTGTCATCCTGCGCAGCTTCTGTGACGCAGTTTGATCCTGATAGATAATAAGAGTGACATGTTTTATCAAAATCTTCCTACATGGCTCAGGTTCACTTCCACTGACACCAGTGCTATTAATATTTCCCCCATTAAGCCAATCCATCCTAAAAGCCAAAGAGAATACCACAGTTACAGGTTTCAATTTAAAGGCTCTGATGGATGAGCGTAAGAAGGGAGTGATCACCGAAGCCCAGTCCTTCCTGCAGGAGCAGGGAAGCTAAGACCCGGGCCAGCACTGCCCACCCCCCCACCACCAAGGGTGCAGGGCAGCCACGTAGAAACTGGCACTTACTAGGCCAAGACGGCACAGGCCTCCAGCCTTCAGACAAAAGCCTTTTGTCTGGGAGATGCTGAGGGACACCACACAATGCTGTTTCTTTCTAAATTATTTTTTTCCCCTGAATGCTATCTAGATCCTGGAAAGCTATTTCCATGAACTGATTTTAAAATATCCTATATAAGTGAACACTTGTCATTGACATGAATGTCCAACATTAGGGGCTTGGTTAAGTATAAGATGGTGTATCCCATGATGTTTATGAGAGTTTATAAACGCAGAGAGGAAGGATGCAATAGCATACAGGAAGGCTTGTGTTAGGCTCACATATGAAAAATAAAGAAACAAGAAAAAAGAAGCTGCAGGCAGGAGTGTACTGGGGCTGACAAGCTGACAATATAAAAGATAAATGCTGAAACTATTCTGCAGGATACTGAAATGGTGAATACTGACCTGCATTCGTCAAAACCCACAGAACTGTGCAACACAGAGAATAAACTTAACGTCAATGATAGATTTTATTTAATAATAGTGTATGAATATTGGTTCACTAACTGTAGCAAACATAGGGCATGAATACCAGATGTTTGTTATAAGATGATAATAACAGAGGACACTGTGCTGAGGAAGGCAGAAGGAAACAGCTGTCCTGGCGGCTCAATTTTACTATAAACTTTAAACTGTCCTAAAAAATGAAGCCTATTAATTTTCGTAAAACTAAAAATAAATAAAGAGATAACCAGAAAGCAATATATCAAAATATAAATAGCACCGTTTTTGGATAACAAGATTATGACAAGTTGCTTTTTCGTGTTTTACTTTTCTGATTTTCTGCATTCTAATTTTTTTGATCAGGTCAAAGCAGTGGAAGGTTTGAAAACCTTGTCTGGGCGACTATCCTCTGAGGCAGGAACTGTGCCGGCTCACAGTGCTCTTGGTCCAGTTCCCTAAACACAGCAGGACTCAGTAAGTTTTGCTAATAGAGCATAAGCACTTTAAATGCGTCTTCGGCCAGGCGCAGTGGCTCATGCCTGTAATCCCAGCACCTTGAGAGGCAGAGGTGGGCGGATCATGAGGTCAAGAGATGGAGACCATTCTGGCCAACATGGCGAAACTACGTCTCTACTAAAAATACAAAAATTAGCTTCACGTGGTGGCACGCACCTGCAGTCCCAATTACTCAGGAGGCTGAAGCAGGAGAATCGCTTGAACCCAGGAGGTGGAGATTGCAGTAAGCTGAGCTCACGTCCCTGCACTCCAGCCTGGCGACAGAGCAAGACTTAAAAAAAAAAAAAAAAAAGTATTCAATTCTGTCTGCCTTGCAGCCTGCAAACTTGTCACCTCACAGCCTGACAGAGGGCAGCAAATTAAAGTAACAATTGTGAGAGGAACAGATCAGAGCATCTAACGAGCGATTGGTTAGGTCACCGTAAATTGAAAATCTCTCCTTAAGTGGACAGAGGGCTGCGTGAGCATCTTGAGAGGTATCTATTAAGTGGCATCAATGGATAGAGTGGCGGGTGCTGATATAAGACCAAACCCGATATATCATGTCATCAAGAAAGAAGCATGGGCAAGGCTTTGGCATGTAGAAATTGAAGCAGTGGGATTGGTTTAAGAATTGGGAACAATTATACCAAAAGAATTCTTAGCTGAGTGTCTGATTCTTGGTGAATCAGTCAACAAATAGTAACTGATATTTGAAAGCATTAGAGGGGTTTATTAGATCCTAGTTTTATAATTGTTTAGGAATAAAACTCAAAGATAAAGTAATTCTTCATATTAAAATTATTTTACAATTTACAATCCTTCTCAACATTGATCTCGTTATCTGCCTTCATTTGTTCACTTGACTTGTAGCCTTGTATGACTGCAAGCTCCACGAAGGCAGGGCCATGTCTTGGTTTTGTATCCCCTCCTCTTAACACTATGTCTGGCACACAGTTGGTTCTTACAGTGGATTAAAGGCTCTTACCACAAATTTGTTGACGCCTTCCATCCAGAGGTGACATCTATGTATTTTATTTCCCCTTTTGAATCTGGGCTAACTTGTAACTGCTTTGACCAACTAAGTATGGTGGAAGTGACATTATGACACCACTGAGCCTAGGCTTAAGACAAACTTGGTCTCTTGGAGCCCTACGTTTCATATAGGAAGTCCAGCTACCCTGCTGATGAGTCCACGTGGAAAGGCCTGAGACCACATGGAGAGGGAGAAGAGCCCAATGAAGTCCAGCCTTCCAGCCATCCCCATCAAGAGATCAGATAAGTCGGCAAAGCTATTTTGACCTGAACAGATCAGATCAGCTCTTACTTGAATATCTCAAAGGACTCCAGGTGGCTCCACAGGGAGCAGAATCACCCAGCTAAGTCCTGTCTGAGTTCCTTACCCGCAAAAGTCATCAGATAACATGAAATGATTGTTTCAGCCACTAAGCTGGGGTTGTTTGTTATGAAACAATAGATAACTAGAATAGCTCTTACTAAATGTTTGCTATGGATGGATAAAGGAATGGATGGATGGATGGATGAATAGATGGATGACTTAGAAGGGCCATTATCTTTCCCAGAGGAATAATGCTCAGAGAGAAAGCCAAAGGTCCTACAGTAAGCACTTGTCATTACTTCCTCCTCCCTTAGCATCTGAACCTCCTTATTCTCGTGGAGAATTTCCTGTCTTATTAAGTAAAGCTACTTCAAATTACAAAAGCAAAAATGCCATATATACCCTTCCACAGCCTTCCTTAAAGCTAAGGTACAGGACCCTGATGCAAGATCTTCAGTGAGACACTCCTGCCTCAAATTGTGAATCAGAAACTGGGGCAGGCTCCATTGCAGTGGGTGGTGGGCAGCAGCTGGAGTCTCAGCAACCCAAACCCTCCAGAAGCCCTGCAGCCACAGCCCCAGCAGCAGGGCCCGGTGTCTAGGTTCCTGGTATGAGCCCTCGGCCAGGTCCCATGTCCAGTGATTTGAGCCAGAGCTACTGTGCCCAGCAGCAGTGGTGCCTTCACTGCATTGTGAATTCTTCCTACCTCCAAGATTGTCGTCTCTCCCTCTCAGGGGTGGGGTAGTAGATTCCTTCTCTGCTGAAAGCTAGGAACCCTGGCTGATAGTACCAGATGTGGATTTCTCATTCTAGGATGCCGGGTTTTCCATGAATAGTTTTCAAACGGTGTCCTCAAGGTCCCAGGGTTCTGCAGAGGAAAAGCAAGAGAGTAAGAGAGCAGAACTCAGGACCCACATCCCTTATACTCCCAAACAAGCCAGCTTTTAGTTTAGTTTAGTTTTGTTTTTTCTGGAGACAGTCTTGCTCTGTCACCCAGGCTGGAGTGCAGTGATGCAATCTTGGCTCACTGCAACCTCTGCCTCCTGGGTTCAAGAGTTTCTCCTGCTTCAGCCTCCCAGGTAGCTGGGATTACAGGTACCCACCACCACCACCCACTAATTTTTATATTTTTAGTAGATATGGGGCTTCACCATGTTGGCCCGGCTGGTCTTGAACTCCTGACCTCAGGTGATCCACCCACCTCGGCCTCCCAAAATGCTGGGATTACAAGCGTGAGCCATCACACCTGGCCACTTTTGTATTTTTAATACTATGATTTTCTATAAAATTTTATTTGGAAGAATAGTTCTCTTTCTAAACAGCAAGTTTGAAAATAACCATTTAAACACATAAAAACATAACCTATGAAATGGATTGTTTGGTGAAGCAAAGACAATTAACCAAGAGAAATGGTCACATAAACATCACAGTAAGCCCTTAAAAAAGATGCTCTTTGTTCTAGACCAGTTATCTCCAGGGGTTCCCCCTGGTTAAGGTTGGTTTTGATAGATGATTAAAACAGGACATTGAGGGGAGAGGTTGTGACAAAGACTGCTTGTCAATATACATCTAGGTCTAGTTACCTAGAAGGTGTAGAAATGGAACCCCAACCCTTCCTTTTGAAGTTTAATGTTATTAGAACGTCTCAATGGGTAGTAGCAAGGCCCTGCATGGCCAGCAGACTGGCAGTCACACCAGGGTAAAGGCCCATGAGGGATGATGAAATCCAGACCAATGACAGGCTCAACCCCCAAGGACATAACCTTCTCAAGGTGGGCTTGTCCCAGCATGCATCAGGCTACAAAAATCTCCTGTCCCACACACCTTGAACTTTGGGGATCCCTTTGGGGCAATGGCTCTGTGTGTGCGTTCGTGTATGTGTACATGCACACAGTGTGCCTGTGCAAACATAGAGATGCTAATGGTAACACCAGCACCTTCATCTGTGGTGGTGAGAATGACCCCGGCTGAGGTTGGTGAGAAGGGTCATCTTTTGCTGCCCCTCAACTGTGAGCAAAGACTGCTGGCCAATCACTGAGCCTCAGGACTATGAGCACCTCTAATTTTCAACCACCACAGCAGGGAGCAGGGACTGCCATCAACCCACAGCACACCTTGCAAGGCAGTGAAAGCCCCAGAGCAGCACAGATGGGGCTTCCTGAGCCAGGTGGCCATTGGGTTCCTTAGACTCAGCACAAGGGTTGAGGAGATTCCAGCAGAGGCAAGAAGGACATTCTCTTGACAGTAATACGAGAACTCAAGCTATTTTATTTGAATATGTTTTAAAGCATGGCTTTACTTTATACTCCAAGCTGGAGAGTTAGGAAATGTGTTCTATACATTGTCCTAGGATTGGAAGAAACCTTGGGGGACACAGACAATGAATGCTGTACACTTAGAGCAGTGGTTCTTAACCAGGGGGTGATTTTGATAATGTCTGGAGACATTTTCAATGGTCACAATGGAGGCAGGGGTCTTACTGACATACAGTGGGTAGAAGTCAGGTGTGCTGCTAAGCCCTTCCACGCACAGCTCAGCTCCTCACAATAAAGAATTATCTGGCTCAAAAATTAATCTGAGGTTGAGAACCCTGACTTAGTGCAAGAGAGATCACTTCCAGCTGGTTAAAAACTAAACCAAGGGAAAAGATGAGAAATGTATAAGACACCATGTCACGGAGATATGTTCTCTGGATTTGAAATGTGTAGGAATCCACAGACTTTTATTGGAGGGGCCAGTGGTGAGGTTCTACTGTGGATCACATGCTATCAGGTGTGTATATAATATCTCAAGTTTATTTTAAGTCCCTAGTCTACTCAATATTGCTTTGGGTGGTATGTATTGTTGTCTTGTGCAATTTGGGTCTTTCTTTTAATGAAATTTTCCTCCTCAAGTATTGACTTCTGTGCTGTGAGCTCCTGTTGAAAGGGGGCATTGGCTGCTCTGGCACTCTGCATCAGGGAAGGAGTACAAGGAAGGGAAGGTAGTGGGCTCCAACCACTAGAACCATCATTCCTAGTCCCATTTGCTAACATTCCCATTTGCAAGTCTAGTTAGGATTTACCTTTAGCTTTAGGAAGAAGAGCAATAGGGATAAGTGGTTTGTTGTCAGTTTCTAGAATCCATGCTTCCTTCTTGCTTCCATAGCTTCTTCAACATTGCTTTGCAGGAAGGAGATACAGCCACACCAGTTGGACAAGTAGCAGGAAGTGGAAATAAATGATTAATTTCACCTAGAGGGCTGATTAGAAGAGGAATAACTCATATGTGAAACAGAGCTGGGTCCCAGCTTGTCTTGGCCTGGACTGTTGGCTCTCTCTAAGTGGTCCCACTATTACCTTCTTCATGCAGCCCCTGATAATCCTACCCTTGACCTCCAGAAGCTGATGCTCCAACCATGAGGTAGGGGCATCTAGAGTTACTGACCTCAGTGACCCCATTCATTTCTGTGTTTAAAGTTTCTGAGAAACCTGAAGACTGACTCAAAACTGCCTGAGATATTTCTTCATTGCTCAGTTTAAACACAAGCCACGATTGCCTAAGCAAGTAGGAAGGGAAGGTAGATGTCAGCTGTGAGCTGAACCTCACCGAGGAAAGCCTGGCTTGCCTGCTGCCACTGTAACAATGACTGGCCAGAGAGGCATTGACAGAACCCAAGAGCTTCATGTTGTTCAGAACAGCAGGTCTGGGAAACAATACGACCTTGCTCAGTGATTGCCTACAGAGAAGTGTCCTCAATATCTCCCTCCTCAGAGAAACAAAGCCATTTCCTTGACAACAAAAGCCCATACTTGTATATTGTGCTAAAAATTTACAGCGCAAAGCCAAGGCTGAGTGCATGTGTGCACATGTGTGCTCATATGCTGAGCTTTCGAAACAGACCTTGCTGATGCCTGTCTGCCAACAAACTACCTTTTAACCCTGTTTCCTTAAAAAGCTCAGAGTTATAATTTTCAAAATTCTTAAGTTCAGCCAGGCGCCGTGACTCACACCTGTAATCCCAGCACTTTGGAAGGCCAGGGCAGGTGAATCACCTGAGGTCAGGAGTTCAAAACCAGCCTGGCTATTATGGTGAAACCCCATCTATACAAAAATACAAAAATTAGCCAGATGTGGTGGCAGATGCCTGTAATCCCAGCTACTTGGGAGGCCAAGGGAGGAGAATCACTTGAACCCAGGAGGTGAAGGGGTAGTTATCCAATATTAAGCCACTGCACTCCAGCCTGGGTGATATAGCAAGACTCTGTCTGAAAAAAAAAAAAAAAAAAGTTCTTACGTTGAAGTTAAAGAGAATCAGAATAGTCTTTATTCAAGCTAAAAGTTTTTGTTTTATTCAAAATTAAAAACTCTCAATTTGTTAACTTCAAAGTCTCCAACTCTGAACTTAGACCTGAATATGCCAGCCTTTTTCCCACTGGAGAAGCTCAAAATCTTCCCAGCCATTTCCCTAGATGCCAGATGAAGTATTCCTGAACACACATCATTACTTAAAACTTGGGTTAAAAACATTCTATTATTGAGATTTCTATATGATCATTTATGTATGCTTTTATAGAGATATAATTAAAACATTTCAGTGACACATTGTTCTTCTAATACACACAAAATACTGATGAGTTAATAGATCATAAGGGCTATCACATATTATGCTTACCATGTGTTCAGCACTGTTCTAAGTGAGTTTTACATATACTAATATACTTGGACCTATCAACAAATAAAACAAAGACCAGAGTTAATAAACAAAAAAAAGGATGGGTAGATGGATGAATGGATGGATGGGTGGTAGGTGGTGGGTAATAATAGACTAGATCGATAGATAAAAATTTAAAGTTGAGGCTAGGCATGATGGCTCACGCCTGTAATGCCAGCACTTTGGGAGGCCAAGGCAGGTGAATCACTTGAGGTCAGGAGTTCAAGACCAGCCTGGTCAACATGGTAAAACTGTCTCTACTAAAATGCAAAAATTAGCTGGGCGTGGTGGCACATACCTGTAATCCCAGCTACTTGGGAGGCTGAGGCAGGAGAATCACTTGAACCCAGGAGACAGAGGTTGTAGTGCGCCAAGATGGAGCTACTGCACTCCAGCCTGGCGACAGAGCGAGACTATCACAAAATAAAGTAAAAGCTGAGTCTATTGACTTGCTAGCCACAGGAATACAGGCTAGGGAGAAATGTACTGAGTTAAGTGGTAGCTCACTGAGAGGGAGAACTCAGAGTTGTTAAAGGCTTGCCAGGGTTGGTTCATGTGGTTATTGCTTATTAAGGGTTGAAATCCAGTACTTTGAAAAGAACAGAATGAATCTGAAGCTCTAAATAGAGTTGGTTAAAAGAAACACCATTGCTCAGTGTTTGGGAAAAAGTCTTCAGTTAGGACCTAGTATCCCACAGTCATTCCAAGTTCATGGTTATTTATTTAGCTTCGCTGGTCTGGAGTCAGCCTGGAGAAACACAATAGTCAGTTATGATCTGTCCTTGAAAAACGCTCCTGTAAGCAGAACATGTTCTTTTCCATTCCTCACAACAACTTTTTAAGGGGGTGCAATTATTGTCGTCCTCATTTCCCAGAGCTGGAGACTAAGGCGCTGAGGTGTTATTTGCCCAAGGTCAAGCTAGAATTCAATCCTGGGAAGTCAGAGCCCACACTCTTAACCCCTCTTCTCAGCCAGCAAGCACGGCACAGATTCGGAACCAATTGCTGATGTGTATGTTGCCTATTTAAAATTATTTGTTATTAAAATTATACATATAAAGTTGTTTATAATTTCAGCTAAATTAAATGAACAAATACTAATTCAAAGAGTACTCTGTATGATAAGTACTATGACTATACACTAGGTTTAACTTGAGATCTGACTTTAACCTTTGCAAACTGCTTTGTAAATGTTGGCTATTTCATGAAAAAAATAGGAATATTTGCCTTTTTTTTTTACATCTGTTGTCATAGGAACCAAGTCTATCTCCACAATCACACACATTATACTAACACCATTCTAAAGGAGTGAGTCTTTTAAAAGGCCCCCTGTTAAAGACTTTCTCATTCTCACTACCCACCCCCACTCACCCTAGTCTTACCTTCTACATCACTTTAAAACTTTTCTCATCAGAAATTAGAGGAATATTTTCTAATAGGAAATGAATTGCACTTGTTTGCCCATCTATCCCTCTCCTTGTATCTGCAAACCATTCAAAGACCATCACTTTGAGCTCTTTCAAGGGAAAACCATCCCCCAGAGTTTGAAAGGCACAGTGATGTACTGCAAAATCTGTGACCAGCGTCTTCTTACTTTTGGAGAGATTTAGTTTGGGGAAATAGAAGATATCTGATAAATCTGATAATTAAGAAAGTTGGCTGAGCTGTGTAATGCAGTTTTATTGTTCCAAACAAGTAGGACCCAAAGTAAAGCAATATGATTTTCATGTCACCAGTATTAACTAACACAAAGGCCATTTTAAAAGAGAAATCATGGTCAGGCACAGTGGCTCACGTCTGTAATCCCAGCACTTTGGGAGGTCAAGGTGGGGGGGATCACCTTAGGCCAGGAGTTGAAGACCAGCCATGAATTAACATGGCTAACATGGTGAAACCCAGTTTCTACTAAAAATACAAAAAATTAGCCAGGCATGGTGGTATGTGCCTGTAATCCCAGTTACTAGGGAGGCTGAGGCAGGAGAATCGCTTGAACCCAGGAGGTGGAAGTTGCAGTGAGCCGAGATCTCATCACTGCACTCCGGCCTGGGCAACAAGAGCAAAACCCTGTCTCAAAAAAAAAAAAGAGAGAAGTCCCCAAATTGTCTTGGTCAGTGGTGGTTCTATTGACGTAAAATTACTGCCTCTGAAGATGACTCCTTTAGTGGTGATTTTTTTAAACGTTTTAGTAAGTTTGTAGGAAAGCTCAGTATGACCACAGCATAAGCTGTATCTCATATGTACATCAAATTCAAATGTATAGACAACTGCATGGCTTCCCTTGTTGACAGCTCTAAATGTTTAAAGGTAATAGAGGTGGCAGAATAATATTTTACTAGAAGAAAGAGTTCCATGGCTAAGAAAATTTTCAGTACAGGACTAGTGTATCCTTGAGACTTTTCACAACACAAGGATTCTAAGATTCAATATTCTAAAAGATCTATGGCAAACTGAATTATTTTCAGAAGTGAGTTTCCACTGAACTAGACACATTTTTTCTCTTAATTCCTCCTGTAAATGGTAGCAATCATTTATAGGCTAGTATTAAGCATCTTATCACTGAGAACTCTATAATATTTAGTCTTCCTTATGGTGACACTGATATCTTTGGGATAATTAGCAAAAGACTAAACATTATGTTCAGTATGTTTTTGCTTTAAAGTGTATTTTAAATGAGTTTCTTTTTGGAGAAAGGGAATCCCTGAAAGCGATTTAATTCACTATTAATATTTACCCATTTACATTTCATTGGAAAATCACTCATTCATCGCACGCACTGTTCTTCACTGCCACTAGGTGGTGCTCCAGCCATAATGTCGATTCCTGAGCCTCCCGAACCTGTACGCTGCATACTGTCCTAGGGCAGGTCCCACTGAACGTGGCTGGTCTTGCAAAAACCACAGCCAGTGTGAGGTATGTTTCTAAGCTCCCTAAAGTTTACACAGAACCCCAGAGTGAGGCTGATAGTAGAAAAGCCTACTATACAGGAAAGCAGAACTTAACCCACAGTGGAAAGAAAATAACTAAGGCAGGTGGGGTAGTAGAGACAGACCCAGGATTTTCCCCCAATGGTGTCTTCAGTAGTAACCCAACCACCTACTTCAGGGGCTGGCCTAGTAATGCTGAAAGATGAGGCTACGCAGACACCTTCCATGGCCTTCCAAATACCACAGTTTGGCCAACATGAGCACCAGGAAAAAAAGATCTGAGAGAAGGACCAAGTATGGGGACCTTAGGTCTGTGTCTGCCCAGCTGTGCCTGGTACCCATGTTTCATATCTATCCAGATAGTATTTGCTCTGGGCTAGCAGCTCAGCATTTGCCAGCAGAAGTGATTTGCCCCAGGAGGGCAGACCTTCCCCTGGGGTGTGAACAAAATTTCTCTCCCTATTTCCCGGAGTTCTTTCAGTTACATCTGTAACTTACTAGTCAGTTCTGAGTCACTTTCCAAAAAAAACGCATAGAGGTACAAGCTTCAAAGAAAGACAATCTCCATACGTGGTTCAGTTTACAAATATGGACAGTACGTGTGCATAGTCACAAATGCCAAGTGGCACAGAAAAAGAAGCAATCTGCATGAGCCAGAATATTTAAAAGGCTTCACAGAAAATGTGGTACTTAAAAACAGGACTGCAATGTTTGGAGCTGGAAAACATCTTGGAGAACACCTGGTCTGAGGCTCTGAAATAGATCATCTGAGTTTTTTGGTTTTTTTTAGATGAAGTCTTGCTCTGTCACCCAGGCTGGAGTGTAGTGGTGCAATCTCGGCCCACTGCAACCTCCACCTCCTGGGTTCAAGAGATTCTCCTGACTCAGCTTCCTGAGTAGCTGGGACTACAGGTGCCCGCCACCATGCCTGGCTAATTTTTGTATTTTTAGGAGAGACTGGGTTTCACCAAGTTGGCCAGGCTGACTCAAACTCCTGACCTCTGGTCATCCGCCTGCCTTGGCCTCCCAAAGTGCTGGGATTACAGGCATGAGCCACTGCGTCCAGCCGTTCATCTGAGTCTTAACGGCTCATAAAGTTATCTCAAGAGCCATGCTTGAAGCCAACCAAGGAGGCTTCCGGGTCTCACCCACATTTCAACAGCTCCAGTTTTATCTGTTTACTTTATGGGGTTTCTCTTTAAGCTCTGTTTGAACAAAGAATCTTACTCCTTCTTTTTATGTTGGAACCACTGATCCAGTCGATGCTGCTCATTTTACAGATAAGATCACCGAAGCACTTTGGGGACTTTCCCAAGCTCACACATGCCTTGAACTGAAAAGATAGGGAGCATTTTGGATATGTTGGACAAGGGTGATATGGTCTGGCTTTGTGTCCCCACCCAAATCTCA